ACACTGAAATGGCTTCCCATAAGAATGGTTATCGTATGAGTGCGAAACATACGTTACAGCACGCACACGGTACTACATGCCGTAACACTGAAATGCCTTCGCATAAGAATGGTTATCGTATGAGTGCGAAACGCACGGTACTGACTTACAGCACGTACACGGTACGACACGCCGCAATGTTACAGTGCGAGTCAAAAAACCGTGCGCACCTAGGAATATTCAAAAATATTTCTTAACCAATCAGAAGCGTTAATGTTATCTTTCAATTTTGATTGGGGGAAAGAACAATAGAACACTCTTTGAATATTTCTAGACGCCCACGGTTTTTCGGTTAGCACTGTAAAATAGCTGTCTTCCAAAGATCTAGACTTATAGTAATCATCCAACGACAACGCGCTACACGTAGGTAAGGCTACGGTAAGTTACGTACGGTATACCGTATAGCCTGTGTTCAGCCGGTACAATTTCTCTACAAATAATAACAGTTCCCAACGCCACTTATACAAAAAAGACTCCAAATCGTCGATCCTTGTTTAAATTGGGAGTCGGTTTTAACGTTAAACTAAGTAGCTTGCATGCACTATATATTATATTGTATATGTGCAAGGGCGGATCCAGCCAAAATTTTAGGGGGGGAGGGGGGGCGCTAATTGAGTTTCTTCCGTCAACACAACGAACAACATTTAAAAAAGCACCTAATTCTTCAGCTTTGTTTTGTTTTGTTTTCTACTGAAAGGGGGCTTCAGCCCCCCTTTGCCCCCCCTGGATCCGCCCTTGATATGTGACTCATGGTGCTACAAGAACTGATGATGAATATGGCTTGTACCTAACCAGTCTATGTTCCGGTTTAATGGCCAAACTAAAATTTCAAGTCATGTAAAACGAAGCGGAACTATAAAATTTACCTGTAGATGAATACGATGATCAAAACTGCGGCGACAAAAACAACTACAACCAACGTAATAACCACTATTTTCATCTTCCAATTTAAGCCAGTGGATTGGTTTTCCTTACTCTGAGGGGAGGCACTCGGGGTTGGCAGCACGATGGGGTAGCCGGCGATATTCTTCTGTTCTCTAGCCATATTATATATGATTTGCTTAGGAAACAATCGGTTTGATCCTGGATAGGACACCTTGAATTGTATCACGAGGTGTTTTTTAGATGTCTTTGGATAGTTCGGGATTATGATGATGTCGGAAGACTTGAATTTACTAATTTTGAAAAAAAGATATATTTTTTAATTAAATATTATTCATGTGCATAATTTACACCCCAAGGTATAATATATTCCAATTTCCTCTTCTCACTGTATTATACTTTTGAGCGATATGTTCAAACAGGTCAATAGTCTTCTCTAGCTGGACGTAGTCGTTAAAAGAGTAAATACGGTACTAGTGGGCATCGACCACTCCATTCTCAGGATTTACTCTTGTTTGCAATTGGTTGTCGAGGTCATAAAACGATAAATTAAACGCGTTATCAAATCTAGATAGCTATCTACTTACCTTTGGATCGCACAAGTATGGTTTTGACAGTAAGCGTTAAGTTGAGCGACAAATGATTTTTTAAACACGTTTATTTGCCACTAGAAACAGGAAAGAAAAACTGAAATGTTAATTTCGAGCATGAAAGCATCTGCGCGTTAATCAGAGTTCAAGTAAGCAAGAAATTAGAAGACTTGGTTGATATAACAAAAAACAGGTCGCCAAGAAGGAATATCGTTCATCATCTATAACATCTATATTTAGATATCAAAGCCCTTTAAAAATCATGGGATAGATGCTACAGACCGCTGACTCTCACTGATCGATTGCGAACACTGAAACAACCTCTAGGCCGATCTTAGTCAGAGCATGGCTAATTTACAGATCAGACACTGAAACAACCTCTGTGCTTATCTAAGTCAGCATGGCTAACTCACATATCAAACCCTGAAACAACCTCTGGGCTGATCTAAGTCAGGGCATGGCTAACTCACAGATAGAACCCTGAAACAACCTCTAGGCCGATCTTAGTCGGCATGGCTAACTTACAGATCAGACACTAGGCTGGGCACAGCTAACTTAGATTGAATTAGAATTTAGCGTCGTACCGTTTCTTCGGAAGGGAAACAGAGAAGAAAGAAAATTGTTACCCATATAAAATATTCTTTCTACAAGCACTTACATCCTTTTTGCTGAGTGTTAGAAAGCGAATTTCAACCACACCCTTTTCTGATGGCAAAAGAGACAGCATTAACCACGGAGTTAAAAGGATTTCATTTATTTATTTCATTTAAGGGCAAACCTTTTTGGGAGGTGGGAAGGTGGGGGGTACATAATGTATTTAAAAACAGTATTGGGGGGCTTTTGCAGAACTTCCCCCACCCACCCACCTCCTATATACTGACATAAACAATACTCCGCTTTTACTGTTCCCTGCACCATCTTGAAAGGTAGCCGTGCCGAGACGAACGTTGAGGTTGCAATGATAGAAACCTTTTTTTAACACCTAGGAAAATTATTTACATGTTCCTAGCTAATATCATCGCAAGCTCACCGTTCGTCTCGCTTTGATGCAAAGGCACGGATACCTTTCGAGATGGCTTAGGGAACTTTTAAGGGGACTATTAATAAAGGCAATGAGAGTACCGTAAGAACGAGAAAATGCCCTGTCAAAGGTTCTGTATTGCTCCAGGTGGGAGGGGGGATGTGGGGCTACTCGACCTCATTTTGGAATGGGATGTGCCGCCAGAGGTATGAAACCCCTACCCTATTTATGACACTTCAGGACCGAATAACGAGGCGCTTTGTTGCCAAAGCACGCTTATTTATAAAATAGTACCCTACGCAAGACACACGAAAACGTTAAACTTACGATCTTGTGCCAAATTATAAATCTTGTTTAAGACAATATCCGGCAAAAAGTATACCCTGTGTAAGACAGCAGGGCCAATAACCATACTCTATCCAGCGGCAGATACCCTTACAGCAAAGATATGCGAGTGTTCCTCCCCCGGGTCTTGCTTTGATTACTTTTTGACCGTGACATGAATTTCAGACCGTGACGTGCTGTGTGTGCAACAGGCGTGATTTTTATACAATGTGCGTGACTTACCAGGTTTAACGGGTGTTGGTCCTGTAAAATGAACGATGAGGGAAGATTCAGAGAAAACAATATTAAGAATAACCTAAGATAACGACAACAACAAATGATAACTGGAAAAGATAACATCAAAGAGGGCATCCCTTATATCCGTGATAAACGTTGTAAAGGCCGGTTTAGACGGTACGATTTTCGCCTACAACTATCGTATACAACACGCTCGCGCCATCCTACAACTCGAGTCGTAGCGTGTAAATCAAGCCTACAACTCGCCTACGACAGACGCGAGCGTGTTGTATACGATAGTTGTAGGCAAAAATCGTACCGTCTAAACCGGCCTTAAGAAATAACACAAATTTGCACAAATTAGGACTGGTTCACTAGACCTCCGTAGACGGTAAACCTACAAAACTTTGCACTTATCAGTGTACAATTTTGTTAGTTAGCCCTTTCACGGATATATGGAATGCACTTTAAGGTAAACATTCACCTTTTTCCATACATCGGTTCACTGGTCTAACACAAAGCGCTCGAGCGAGGCGCCAAGGTACTTTCAAAGGATTATTCAAATTTAAACCTTGCAACCTCGACTGCATGCTTTGTGTTTGACCAGTGAACCGATGTATGGAAAATGGTGAATTACAAACCATGACATTAACAAAAACTGACAAAAAAGACACAGGACAACAACAGATAAAAAGAACAAACAATCAGAAACAATCTCAACAACAGACGACAACCACAACAACAACAACACATTACAATAGCAAACACCATCATAACACAGTATTCTTACTAATAGGATCGCCGCAAACGACTTGAGCGTCTTTGGTGTGGTCACAACGGTGCATAATAGAGAAAAGTACTTGTTGGCTACAAAGTCCAATAGAAGGTTCATTCCCTACGCACTTCAAGTCTGTCGTTAGAGGTTCTGTATTATTCGAAGGAATGGCAGAATATCCCAATTTCAACGACACAGCTCTGGAGTACCCCAGCTGTCTGCAGACTACTTTCGCATCATCCATGTCCCAGCCAACGTTGCATATGGTGCCCCAAACACCAAAATACATAATCTCGACTATTCCTTGGTTCACGTCCCTTCCACCCGTGAGGCGAAGATCTGTTGAAAGTTTTATAACGGTACATGAATATACTTCATTTTGTGATCACGACTTGTGCATGGTACCAGGTTTGTAAGATGTTGCCTCTTCCAAGATTGTAACTGTAAATTGCATATTTTACAACGAATTGTTAATTTCTCGCGCGCTGATTTGCTATTTGTATTGATGATCAATAAGAGGCCAGACAAATAATCTGACGCGCTCTTTCCGTTGGTTGAGCTGGTTTAACGTCACATGCGAGTGAGCTTTAGACCTCTTGTGCGATAAATAAAACAAGTTCAACGTATACCATAACATTCTGCTCCAGCATCTTTCCAGTGTCTCCAATCATGCATCCGAGGGCTTGTATTCAACGTCACGTTACAGTTCCATATTGCAGATTCATGTCCTGTACAATCAGTACCTAATATCCACACAGGTCCAGATCCAGAACCATAACGAGCACTATTGGAGACCCCTCTTGCTCCAGCAAAGCCTATTTGTCTGCAGAATACATCAGCGTCCCATATGTCCCAACCGTTATCACTAATTGTACCCCATATTCCGCCTACTTCTACTTCCACTCGACCTTCATAGTCATGGGACGAGCCATTTAGACGCACTGTAATGAATAAAATAAAAAAAAAGATTAAGAGAGAATTCTTTTCGTATTCAAGCAGTGAGCGCCAAAAACTATTTTCTTGAAGAAAGGCTGTTGTACAAGGCTAA